CCTTTGGCAGCCTTGCCAGAAGCCACTGGGTTTCATCCCAGCCTGACCCAGAAAAATCTTAGGGAAGAGAACAAGAGGCCCAAGAGCTCTCTGATCTGCTGTCATCCAGCTGCAGCCCAGAGCCTGCCAAAGGGCTGCAGTGACTAGGCAGCGCCCTGCGGAGCCCTGCGGAGCGTCTGGGAGGGGATTAGCAGCCTGAGCCTCTGACTTCAGAGCCAGAAATAACTCAAACTTCACAAACAGCCAGGGCCTGCCAGGGAGGGTGACAATGAGCACTGGAGAGGGCTTGCTCCCCCTTGCTGGGGTCTCTCCCCGACTCTTGCTGCTGTGGTGGATTCTGGAGAGTGGATAGTGTGCAGCCTGTGAGGTCATCGGAATTCCTTGGCAACCAGCAAGTACCTGAATTCTTTCAAAACCACAGGAATCCAGCAGAGAAAAGGTAAATATCCCTACGGAGCCAGTGTTAATTAGCAACGAAGGCTACTGAAGAAGGAACTGGAGGTGGGGAAGAAGGGGGAACACTACAAATGCTTTTGGGTTCTTTGGAGTTTCCTCAGAAGAATTCGGCTGATGCGGAGAAAAGGCGGTCCAGATTCAGACCTTCCGGTGTCCTCTCCCACCTCCACAGCGTGGGTGGAACTCTCCCGGCCCACTCTCTGCATAGGTACTTTCTTTCCCCGCAACTTGCTAGCACTACATTTCTTTGGGTCTCTGACAACACATTTGGTTTTCAACTCAATTTTGCTTTGATTTTTTTTTAACTTTTTATTTTTCCTGTTTCAGGGAAAATTTGGCTATTAGCTTCGTCTCAAAAAGCGGCTTGTCAAATCGCTTAGACCAAATATTAGGATCCACCTAACTGTAAAGTCCAGGACACAGTCTTGTTGGATTCCACCTCTGAGAGGAAAAAGAATCTACCCCATTTGGGTAGAGAGCGGTACCCTGCTCTGGAAACAGAGCGTCTCCTGCTGGTGCAAAAGAGCAACATGGAGTACACATGAAACTCAAGTGTAGGGAGCACCCAGGTCTGAGGGGCCACTATGTTGTTGTTAAGTGTCATCGAGTCAGTTCCAACTCATAGTGACCCGAGGAGCGGCTGGTGAATTTGAGCCGCCAACCTTGTGGTTCAAACTGACTTCATAGTCCAGAGCATTAACCCACAGTGCCACACCAGTCCCAGAAAGACAGCTTTATTTAAACACCTCAATATTTCACCCACATGTAAGAAAAAAGAGTTTTCCTACTTCCCATTTTAACAAAGGAAAAACACCTGAAAATATAAATCCATAAAGAAACTACTTCTTTTTGCTTTAATAAGTTGAAGCAGCCTGATAATTTACATAAAATATACTTATTTCACAAAACTGTCTTGTGAAATGAAATCTTTCCATAACAAAGCACTAGTTTGAGGCCCCAAACAGAAGCGATACGAGTTCTTAAGAAGACCCTTACTCCTAAAAAAGGAAACCAATTAGATCTGCTCCCAGTTGTGTCTCTAGGAAAGATTATGGTTTTCCTATTTAAACCTCAAAGTTAAATGACCTAGTGATCTCATCCCAAACTGATGATCTTCAGTTGTGTCCACAGAAAACACACGCAACCCGAGATTACCAAAAGCTGCAGATCTGGAGATGATGAGAGAGACTACTGTTGAATGTAATGACACAGACGAGTGGCTTCTGAGGATTAAAAAGAAGCAAGTGAATGCCAAGATACACACCACATTAAGACCCAGGGCTGTAGGCACACTGAAGTTTCAGCAGAGAGCAGTGGCCCTTCTCAGGATTGTGGCACACAGTTAGTCACAGTGTCACACACCATCCGTTTGTAAGGTGTGTATGTTTACCTCTGCTGTCAGGTAAGCCTAACGAGACCCAGACCAAATCCACTTCTGTCAAGGCTAGTCCAACTCTCAGCAACCCTACAGGACAGAGGAAAACTGCCCCAGAGGGTTCCAAGGCTGAATCCTTTACAGAAACACAGACTTTTCTCTCCTGTGGAGCAGCTGGTGCATTTGAACCGTTGACTTCTGATCAGTAGATATTTACTTAACCACTGTGCCAGCAGGGCTCCAAAACCCCAACAATTCATGTTTTTTTGGCTCAGTTCAGTTTGAATTCTTAAAAAGCTGAATTCCAAATTATTTTGAGAAAAAGCACCCATTATTACTTTTTTTTTAAAATACACAGTTCCTGCTAGAGGGAAGAGTTACTCAATTCAGTAGATCTGACTTCTAACACACATCCAATAGCCAAAACCTACTACACCATTGAGTCAATCCTGATTCTAATGATCCTTTTAGGATTTTGGGGACTGTAAAAATTTACAGGAGAAAAAAGCTTCATCTTTACTCTTAAAGAGCAGCTAGTGGATTTGAACTGCTGACCTTGTGGTTAGCAACCCTAGGCACTGCTGGGGCTCCTTGCACTTATGTATCTGTAATAAATTCTCTAATAAATGTTGGCAGCGTTCTCATTACATGCTCAGTACTACTGAGTTCTTAATACGCCGCCCAATTTTACCAAGAGAGTTAATAATACTGTGGGTGAGATATCTTCAGAATTATATGCAAAACATACTAGTATGGTATCTTGGAGAAACAATGAGCACAACTCTGAAATCTATTCCCTCAACAAGTACAAGTGGTGGCAGCACATGATTCACTTCCAAACAGTGTGCAGGAGACAAGAGGGGTTACGGCTGAGAGGAAGGAGGAGGGTGGACGAGGTCAGGATTTATACATAGTGGGAAAGCTCATACTTCTGAGCCGCTTGAAGGCTCAAACTACAAAACCGAGTAAAGTCCAAGACTTAACACACCTGAGCAGACATAAAGGGGCATATCTTTACCTTCTTTTTGTTCTAGGCCTATAGGGATGAGGCTTTTAAACCTAATCTCTTCAAAGTGAGGGGTGCGCGGAAGCACCATATGATAACCACAAGGTATGCAATGCAAGCTGCTCTGCAGGAGAAAGATGAGGCTTTCTGCTCCTGCAAAGATTTGAAGCCTCGGAAACTCTATAAAGTTTTGAAGCCTCGGAAACCCTATAAAGATCTGAAGCCTCTGAAACCCTATAAAGTTTTGAAGCTTCGGACACCCTATAAAGATTTGAAGCCTTGGAAACCCTATAAAGGGTCGCTATGAGTCAGAAACAACTTGACAACACTTAACAAAAACTCTTCCAAGTATGCAAGTACATGTTTCTACAAGCACTACAGAAAATGTTTTACCTATGAAACTCTGACTGGATCTGATGGCCAGTTTGTGCTCTGATGCCTGCCTGGTCCAGTACTTTATCCAACAATTGGGAATGATTTTGGTTCTCTCCTTCTCAACTTTCAAGGAACAAGAGGCTTGAACTAGGGAGCTCCAGTACCCTCTAGCGCTCCAAGAGCTCAAGCTCATCAATCTTAGTGATAAATGCTCACACTGCCACCTAGAGGTAATGGGGAGACATGGCTCAACCAACCTGAATCTTGGTGAGTTCTCACTCCCTCATTCCAGCCATCAAAACACTATATGAAAGAATGGAAAGATGATCCTAAGAATACAATAATACGTGTAAAAAGCAACTATATATAAATCCATGGGCTTTCCTATCTTCAAAGAGTATTTTCTAAACACACAAACATACAGATCATGATTTAGCTGGTCAGAACCAGGGAGTCTTGGTGTGGCATTATGGACTAATGGACTGCAGAGTCGCTTTGAACCACAAGGTTGGCAGTTCAAGCTCAGCAGTTGCTCCTTGGAAACCCTATACAGAGTCACTGTGGGCTGGAACTGACTCCATGGCACTTGACAACAACAACAACTATGACCAGACCAAAGAGACATTACAAGTTTGGTTCTAGCCCCCACCATAAAGCAAGTATCTCAATAAAATCAGTCACACAAATGACTTGGTTTCCCAGTGCATGTAGAAGTTATGCTTACATTTATTAAGTGGGCAATTAGTAGCATTATAAAAAAGTTTGGATTATTGTGAGAATGACCAAAACGTGACAGAAAGACATGAAGTGAGCACATGCTGGTGGAAAAATGGTGCCACTAGACTTGCCAGATGCAGGGTTGCCACAAATCTTCAATTTGTAAAACTGTGTCTGAGAAGTGTAATAAAATGAAGTATGGCTCCAGATGCCCACTGCTCTCTAAACTGCGATCTCTAAAACACCAAGGCCACTGGGCATAAAAACTACCTCGGTACAAAGCGGCCAGTAAAAAATGTACTTGTTTGTGGGAAAAACGGGACAAGCATAGCAGACTCATGAACTTACTTCAAATAAACCAATGGCTTTCTGAAAACATAAAAATATATGTTATAATGACTTGACCTTAATTGTGTACGTAAGTCATATTACATTAATAGCTAAAAAGTTACTCAAGAAAACCAGGCCAATGGATACATAACCACTAGAAAGTGTACCAATTTTTAAATTGAAAAAAAAAAAAAAAGTGGCCAATGTCCCTAAATATGAGGGCATGACACAGTTTGGGTCTTGGGTGCTGGAATGAGATCTGTGAATTTAAACATCAGCTTCATCACTGACCAACTAGGGGATCTCAAAAGACAATTTAAAGTTGGTTTACCTCTCTAAGCCTCAGCTCCCTCAATTGCAAACATTCATCAACTCAGAGGATAGCTAAATAAACACGGGATTATTGTCTTTCTCTTTCTAGAGCTATGGTGAAGAACAATGGTGAATTACTCTAGTGCTCCAGGGCTTCAGTCATGGGGGGAGGTGGGGAGGATGGACACCATAGACCCCCAGGGCCCCTGCTGGGAAACCTGTCTGTCTGCACATGTTTCCTCGTTGTGGACATGCAAATGAGACTATAAAGCAATACTAGGACTGACTTCTATAACCAGAAGCCCATGTGGCTACCTCCAACTTTCCTGAGTTGAACAGACCACCAAGAGATTAGCTAATCTTAGTTAAATCTGAAATGGAGTCAGTCACTCTAATATATGCAGCACCCACCCACGAAACACCTCTTACCTAGCCAAGCCTTCTTCATAAAGATAGATGACAAGAGGGTCATAGGAAGTCACAAGCACATAGAGGCGCACATCAAACTTGAAATCTAGAAAAAAATGTTTGGATTCACAGAAAAAATTCAGTGCATTTGCTTTCTGTTACAGACAGGACACTGTAACAAAGAATTAAGCAAGAACAGTGCTCCTCTCCCCATGAAACACACACACCCACACACCCACACACCTTGCCTTCTGAGAAGAGAGAGAGAAGAATCACACATTATAAATAAACATTGTTGTTGTTAACTGCCACTGAGTCGGTTCCAACTCAAAGCAACCCTGAATAGGACTTCCAAGGCTGTGAATCTTTGCAGGAGCAAAGTGATTATATTCTTGTTGTTGTTAAATTCCATCAAGTCGGTTCTGACCCATAGCAATCCTGTATAGAGTTTCTGAGGAGTGACTGGTGAGCTTGAACAACTGCCAACCTTGTGGTTCAAACTGCCAACCTTGTGGTTCAGTCCAGCACATTAACCTACAGTGCCACACTAGGACTCCAAAAAAATATGGAACACTTCACAAATTTGTGTGTCATAAGCATTATAGTTTTCATATATACAAGGGGGCTTCAAAAAAATTTGTGGAAAATTTCATGGCCTTTTAATTCCAATTTTCGTGAACTTTTTGCCACCCTCTTCTTGTATTTATGACTAGCTTGTAAAGCACTTTGTGTATTACCTCACTGCCGCTCTGAAATACTCCTACGAGGGAGGTAAGGAAGCAGCCTATCTCTGAAATCACAGTTGCCAAGGATTTCACACTAGCTTAATACAGACTTATTAGAGAAATTCAGGAAACTCTGAAAAGTGTAGCAGGATCTACGGCCGAGTAGTCAGGGACCAAATCGCAACTCACCATCTATGAGCAAGGGGTTGTTAATGTAACGGGACACCAGGATGTTGTCTTCCAGGGAAATCTGGTTTGGCTGTTGAGGGAAGAAAAAAGAAAAAATGGGTAAAAATGCAAAGGAATACAAACTTACAATAGCGGAGTAGCATTCTTTACCTTTTAAGAAATGATGATGTGGAAAACGATAACCTATATATTCAATTGGCCACAAAACACACCATCTTCATAAACACTGAGGATGTCCAATTGAAATGCAGAAAAAGTAAATTCACAGAGCACCTCTTAAATAATACGGCCTAAGCTGCAGCATCAATGGGCTCAAGCATGGCAACAATAGTGAGGTTGGCCCAGGATCGGCCAGTGTTTCGTTCTGCTGTGCATAAGGTCGCTCTGAGTCAGCACCAACTCGATGGCACCTAACAACAACAACAACAAAGCCGCTTTAGTGTGGCACTGTGGGCTAATGCATCAGACCGCAAAGTCGTTTGAACAGTAAGCTCGGTGGTTCAAGCTCACCAGCTGCTCCTTGGAAACCCTATACAGGGGCGCTATGGGTCGGAATCAACTCGACGGCATTTAACAACAAGCCACTGTAAAGATTTACATGCATGATTTTAAATAGTTATGAGCCAAGAAAGTAAGAGTTACTTTAAAAATAAATAAAAAATAATTTTTCTCCCAAATGTATAATGAAGAAATTTTACACTGCCACTATTATTAAATGAAGAAAACCGCTAGAGAACATTCCAGACTTTCCACAAAGGATGCCAGCATTTCCCCTATGAAGTGGGATAGGTGATTCAGTGACTGCTTCAAGGGTGCTTGATAAGCCACTGTGTTCAAAGATGGAATGAGGCCTTTTAGAGATTTTTTTTTCAATAAAAACAGTGCTTATATAATAAATGAGTACTGTTAAACAATAGATAAGGCACTGATGATACAAGAATGAAGGAAAAATAGATATAATCCCCACCCTCGCAAAGCTTAACATTTACTAGTCTCTGTCCCTGTGGTGCAGTAGGATCAGCGAACCACAAAGTGGGCACTTCAAACCCATCGGCTGCTCCCCAGAAACCCTATACAGGGTCAGTACAAGTCAGAACCAACTCAACAGCATTTAGCATAAACAAACCTACAGAGGAGTCCTGGTGTGGCACTATAGGAACAACACTGGGATGTTACCTCTGTCAGCGGTTCGAATTCACCAGTTGCTCTCCTGGAATCTTGCACAGGGTCACTATGAGTCAGAACTGACTTGACGGCACTTAACAACAACAACAACAATCTCCAGTGATTTATTTAAGTACTGTCATTATTAAGTGCCATTGAGTCAGTTCCAACTCACAGAGACCTTGAGGTTAGCTGTCCAGTGCTGATCTTATAGCGGTAGACGGACAGCAAAATGCGTTAATTTAAAAGAACACAAAGCAGCAGGCTGTCAAGGTGCACACTGAAAGTACAGACCAGTCAGGTGGGAGCAGTTAGGAAAGGCGAAGCCTGGAAGAGTAGGTGCAGAAGTGAACACCCATGGTGGGAAGCTGAAGGCCATCATGACAGCAAAACGGCATGCACAAAGTCCAGTAGAAAGAGGGTAGGTAGAATCACTGACCTGGACTAGAAGATGAAATCAAAAAACAATGGAAGTCATGGTTAGACAACTAGGAAGGAGAAACCTCACTGGCAAAGGGACATGAAGCTCTGGCAAGGAGAGTGCAGGTTAACATGGTGGGAAGCAGGATGCTATAGTTGGCGTCATGAGTAAGTAACTGTTGTTACATTCCATTGAGTTGGCTCTGACTCAGAGAGCCCACGTCCAACAGAACAAAACGCTGCCTGGCCATGCCTCATCCTCACAATTGTTTAAGCCCAATATTGCTGCCACTGTGTCAATCCATCTCGTTGGGGGTCTTTCTCTTTCGGATGACCCTCCACTAGTCCAAGCATGTCCTTCTTCAGTCCAAAGTACATGAGATGAAGGTACCTTCTGCCTGTCCGACTTCTAGAACAGATTTGTTGGTTCTTCTTGCAGTCCGTGGTACTGTCAATATTCTTTGCCAACACCATAGTTCAAATGCATTGATTCTTCAATGCTGTTGTTAAGTGCTACTGAGTTGGCCCCTATTCATAGGGACCCTGTATTGGGTTTCTGAGGAGCAACTGGTGGGTTTGAACTGCCACCCTTGCAGTTCAAACTGACCTGGTGGTCCAGCACTTGCCCTACAGGACCACACCAGGACTTCATTATTTACTGTCCAATGTTCACATGCGTAAGAGGAGACTGGAAATACCACGGCTTAGTCAGGCACACCTTAGTCTTCAAAATGACACTTTTGCTCTTTATGACTTTAAAGAGGTCTTGTGCAGCAGATTTGCCCAGTGCAATACGTCATCTGATTTCTTAACTGTTGCTTCCATGAGTGTTGATAGTGGATCCAAGCAAAATGAAATCTTAGATCATTTCAATCTATTCCCTATTTATCAATGTTGTTGAATTGGTCCAGCTGTGAGGATTTTTGCTTTCTTTGCACTGGGCTGTAATCCATACTGAAGGCTGTATTCTTTTCTCTTCATCAGCAAGTGCTTTAAGTCCTCTTCACTTATAGCAACCAAGATTGTGGCATCTGCACATGAGATGCCACAGTGAAATTGACCAGAAACCACCAGAATTATATAGGCGAAAAGGACTCCAAATAGGAAGTGGCACTCATAGAAATTATTCTAGCGACAGGAGCAGCAATAGAAGTAACTACTGTTTGCAGAACCAACACAATTGAGTATTTACTGTGTGCCAGGCACTATTCTAAGTGGCTGACAAACAGTACTTTGTGAATATTCATCCAATCCCATAAAACAGGTACATCAGCATCCACATCATACAGATGAGGAAAGAATCGGACAGGGTTAGAAACCTGCTCATCCGTGACCGAACAACATTCAGACCTAGCAGTCTGTCTCACAGGCTTAACTCTAAAGCACTATTCATACAACCTCCCAATATTCTGAATAAAATAATTCTCTTAATTTCAAGTCTGTTGTGATAATGTGTAATCGTACAACTGTTGATACAAATCAGGATATTGTTGTGACCCTTAACATTATATACACATCCATGAGGAGAACCTCTGGAGGTAGGATAATGGCATTCCCTTCTGGGTTCCCACTGGTGCGATCCCTACACATCTCCATGCATCAGATGGTCATTGTGACGCCAGTACTGACTCACACTCTAATCGACCCAATCACCACATCCTTTCCCAACTCCTTTGTATTTCCTTCTGCAGTTTCTCACGAATACCAACTCCACTGGGAGCCAGCTTAGTGTGTAGGCACTGACTCAATTACAGTACAAAGCATTAAACAGCAGGCTGTGATCCAAAGTGAAATAACTGTGGCTTTTTCTTACTGAGTAACATCTACAGAGTGCCATGACTAGGAGACCACCAAGCTTCTTCTGTAACAATGATTCTAGTGGGAGTGGTTTTCACTCCAAGACATATCAAATGCCCATGCCTATTTCCTTCTTCTGTCTCTACCATTCACATGTGGCCTTCAAGTTGGGCATAACATAATCTCGTCAATTACTTAGGGGATTTGTCTATAGCTCTCATTTTTATCTGGTTAGAAATTAAATTGTAAACTCACAAAAGAAAAGGATGGTATGGGTATTGTTTTTGCTATAGCACTAGATACTAATAAGCAATCAATTAAAGCTTTTTGATTTATCTACAAACAGGTTGCCATTTCATCAATCCCAATTAAATAAAATTATTGGGCTAATTAAGCTTAAATTTTTCTTCCAAAGTATCATAACAGAAATCTTAGTGAGATGGGAAAGTTGAAAACATCCATTTTTCTAGGCCCTGGTAACTTGCTTTAAGTAAGGGAGAAAGGTACAGTAGCTAAGAATGCATGTTCTAAAGAACTGTGTGTTAGATACATTTCCCCCCTCTGCCCCCCCATTTTTCGGTCCACACTCCCTTTCCCTCTCTGGGTCCAAAGTCCCCAGCCGCTTCATCACTCCACGTCATCATCTCTATCTCTATCTCAGGCATCTCTGTTTCTCAGGGTAGGGTCCTGCTCTCGGCTCTTCTCCGTTGATGGTCCCAGAG